CTCCAGGGTCACTGTTAACACTGGCTGTGACTCAGGGTGAGTGGGCATATGCAAAAAAAAAAATCCTATTAATACACACTTGAAATAGGACAAATACAAGCACACACCACATTTCTATAGGTCACATTGGCCAAGTGATGACATAGATTAATTGAGGGCTTGTGACATTGTGCTCGGTGTGTTTCTGTGTGTGAGCGGTAGACAGGAAGGGGTCGCTAGGAGTCTCCTGCACTACATAGGGAATAGGGTGCCATTTGGGATGCAACCACAGTAACTTCAAACGGATACATGCGACGTGAAATGCGGGCCGACAGCCCTTCCACTCTCACTATTCACCCGAGACGCAAGCCACAGTGTAAAAACTGTTGACTAATGTTACTGGTAATACCAGGGTAAAAATGCTGAACGGCTGAACGCTTTACATTACACAACGCATTGGCTCATTTTGTTCTGACGTATTACAACTCAACTTGTCTCTTGAGTTGTTGAAACACTAACCAATCAACACCAGGGGTCCTCTGTGACGCATGACGCCAAGCTCAGAGATCTATGCCCCTGTTTTTACTGTAGGGAAATGGTCTACGGGGCTATGGAGGCACTCTACTGTGCTCTGTATTGTTCTGTAATGGCTCCTTGAGCCGTTCATGCTGATCTGTATGCATCAGACCTGGGTTCAGATACTATTAGAAATCTTTCAAATAAGGACTTTGACAGTTTGCTCTAGCCTGCTAGGAGGCGCAGATGGGGGGGGGGGGGGTTGTTGCCATTTTGGGGCTATTCTATTGGTACATTAAGCCAGTGAAGCACAATCAAGCACTGATAAAGTATTTGAAATGATTTCGAATAGGATTTCAACCCAGGTCCTAACTGGGTTGTGGGCACAGAGCTAGTGCGTGCGTGTGTGTGTGTGTGGTGTACATTTCAGTGTGGCACAATATGAATCCGTCCGGATCTGAACGTGGCGGCGGTCCCAGCTCTCTGTCCCCAGTCCCCTTTGATGGTGACTGTATAGAGAGGAGATGCAGAGGTTCTTTGCCCTTAAATGCTAAAGTCATTGGAATGTAGCTGGACCCAAGATGTGACTGGACACAATTAATGATTCAATGATATGATCTGTGATGTCTTCTCTCATCTCATACAGGGTCCTGCTGGGGCTCCAGGAAAAGATGGCATCAAGGTAGAGCATGATTTGAGCTGCCTCCCAAATTGCACCCAATTCCCTGTAGTGCACTACTTTTGACTAGGGCCCATAGGACTCTGGTCAAAGTAGCGCACTACTTTTGACTAGGGCCCATAGGACTCTGGTCAAAGTAGCGCACTACTTTTGACTAGGGCCCATAGGACTCTGGTCAAAGTAGTGCACTACTTTTGACTAGGGCCCACAGGACTCTGGTCAAAGTAGTGCACTACATATGGAATCGGTTCCATTTGGAACACAACCTTGGAGCATCCTCCCTAGTCTCTAGTCCTCTTCTAGCCTGGTCCCAGATCAGTTTGTGCTGTCTCGTCAATTAACTCCTATGGTTAATTGTTGTCATGCCAAACAGATCTGGGACCAGGCTAGTCCTGACTGTTTTTCATCTTGCTCTGGCCAATGTTTCGTTTTAGCCGAAGGCTGTTTTTTTTGTATGGAATGTAAATATTTTAAAATGTTGGGAGGCCAGTATGAAAAATGTATGCACTCACTAACTGTAAGTCGCACTGGATAAGAGCGCCTGCTAAATGACAACAAAAAATATGTTTAACATCATATCTATGATTACTATGGACTTAGACAAACTCTCTTACTGATACTATTTTGGGAATTGAATTCCCAGTGCATTCCTGCAAAGAAGCAGCTTTTATATCTGTCCTACAGCTGTCTTTTGTCAAATCCCTGAGCTGATAATGCCCTCACCTGGTCTAAAAGTGACATGACATGTATACATTTTATAATAACGTTTAATTAAAAAGTGCTAGCCACCATGCAATGCGACTGTCTAAGAGGTACAAAATACTCATATTTTACATCATATTTGGGTAAGTTAGTTTACTTAAAACGTACTGAGGAGTATTTTGTAAATATGTCCCCGATATTGGGTGTTTGGGTAGATTACAGATACGGATAGCGTATGGAACAGCTTACTGATATTGGGTAGGTGTTTGGTTAGATTACAGATACGGATAGCGTATGGAACAGCTTACTGATATTGGGTAGGTGTTTGGGTAGATTACAGATACGGATAGCGTATGGAACAGTCTACCGGTACGCTGTTGTTTGGTTAGATTGCGAGCAACGTATGGAACAGCTTATGTCGCTCTAACTATTTACACAGTATCTTATGATCCACCATGGCTTTGGGTGTCCATTGATGTATGAAAGATTTGAACGTTCTGCTTATCTGGCTCCCCGAACCACAAATCTAAACCATCTGGCACAACATATACAGCCCCTATCTGACCCGTGTTCAGCTAATAATCCCAGTAGTCAGGTCCATATCGGCTCCATCCAGGACACACAGCACGATGCCCATCCTACACTATCACTGGATAGCTGTATCTATATTGCCTCAGGGTATCATGCTACTCATACATTAGGCCCTGTTCAGGTTGCACATTGATGTACAATGCCATTTGACACGACGGCTGTGATAAAAGTTAAGAGGATATTTTACACGAATTAGCCAAACAATGTTTACACAACCGTTGACCGTTTAGGCTCCCAGGCCCCTGACTTCAATGGTCTGAATAGCGATACTGAACAAAAATATAAACGCAACATGTAAAGTGTTGGTCCCATGTTTCATAAGCTGAAATAAAAAGATCCCAGAAATGTTCCATATGCACAAAAAAATTATTTCTCTCAAATGTTGTGCACAACTTTGTTTACATCCCTGTTAGTGAGCATTTCTCTTTTGCTGAGTTAATCCATCCACCTGACAGGTGTGGCATATCAAGAAGCTGATTAAACAGCATGATCATTACACAGGTACACCTTGTGCTGGGGACACTAAAGGGCCACTCTAAAATGTGCAGTTTTGTCACACAACACAATGCCACAGATGTCTCAAGTTTTGAGGGAGCATTTAATTGGCATGCTGACTGCAGGAATGTCCACCAGAGCTGTTGCCAGATCATTTAATGTTCATTTCTCTACCATAAACTGACTCCAACTTCGTTTTAGACAATTTGGCAGTACGTCCAACCGGCCTCACAACCGCAGAACACGTGTATGGCGTTGTGTGGGCGAGCGGTTTGCTGATGTCAACGTTGTGAACAGAGTGCCCCATGGTGGCGGTGGGGTTATGGTATGGGCAGGTATAAGCTACGGACAATGAGCACAATTGCATTTCATCGATGGCACTTTGAATGCACAAAACTACCGTGACGAGTTCCTGAGGCCCATTGTGAGGCCCATTTTTTTAAAGGTATCTTTGACCAACAGATGCATATCTGTCTTCCCAGTCGTGTGAAATCCATAGGTTAGGTCCTCAAATGAACTATAACTCAGTAAAAACAATGATATATATATATATATATATATATATTTGTTCAGTATATATTGCCCAGGTTATTACTATTGTACACTAATACTACAATATTAATACATAGGCTGAAAGATATTCATCTATGTCTTTGCTAAATCTAATTACGGATAATAGGGTAATCATCTGGATGAACAAGGTTTTTAAACTTCACTCAAAATTAACTTCCATCTCCCATGTGGAAATGACAGTAGAATGAGAAGACAGTCAATGTTGTCTTCCCCTGCCTTATTGCTCTGTAACTGTAACTCATCTTAACACAATATTGGTTTTGTTTCTCTAGGGGGAGAGAGGGGCTCCTGGACCTTCCGGATCTCCAGTAAGTGAAGACGCCACTCTTCTCTTCTGTCTTCCTTCAACCACCCTGCAACGGTATACAGAGGGTACTCAAGTACTATTTGAGAAGTTCCGGTCACACAAATTTCCTAGGTGGCAAAAGGTCCGGATGGATATTGTCATTTATCGGCATAGTAACAAACCCCCACCTCACAAACCCATGCAACCCCAAACTGTTCACACCCCGCTTGTTGGTGGAGATAACATTTTGCCGTTTTAAAGCTAATTTCCTGCAATACTACACATTTTTCCCATGTCTTACATGTGTTTATATGATACCAGGGGTCGAAGCCCGATCGAGGTAAACTTTAAGTGAGCCATACAAGTTTGATAGCACTCTGAGATGCTGAGGTAAACTTTAAGTGATCCATACAAGGTTGATAGCACTCCGAGGCAACAGGGTCTAATAACTCAGGTTGATATCTCCAGGATTTATTAAGTCAGGTTTACACTGAGTGTACAAAATATTAGGAACACCTGCTCTTTCCGTGACATAGACTGACCAGGTGAATCCAGGTGAAAGATATGATCCCTTATTGATGTCACTTGTTCAATCTACTTCAATCAGTGTTGATGAAGGGGAGAAGACAGGTTAATGAAGGATTTGAACGGGGTATGGTAGTGGGTGCCAGGCGCACCGGTTTGAGTGTGTCAAGAACTGCAACGCTGCTGGGTTTTTCACGCTCAACCGTTTCCTGTGTGTATCAAGAATGGTCCATCACCCAATGGACATTCAGCCAACTTGACACAACTGTGGGAAACATTGGAGTCAACATGTGCCAGCATCCCTGTGGAACGCTTTCGACACCTTGTAGTCCATGCCCCAACGAATTGAGGCTGTTCTAAGGGCAAAAGCGGGTGCAACTCAATATTAGGAAGGTGTTCCTAATGTTTTGTACACTCAGTGTATATCTCTCCTATATCTCTCAGTCTCCAACTGAGTTGTGATTTTACAGATTCCCTGCTGCGAGACCAAAGGCTGTTCTCTGTCAGTGTTGAGATCCATATTTCAGAGGTGGTGCGTGTGGACTATCATCAATGTAAGAAAGTAGAGAGAGAAGAGAGAGAAAAGAGAGAGTGTGTAGAGGCCATTCCTACACATTTTTCACATTAAGTTTTCCAGGATGTTTTGGATTTCGAATGCTGGATTCGACACACATCTGCAGGTCAGAGCAGAGTGGGAGTAGTGGAGGGAGGGAGGGAAGGAGGGAGGACTGGAGGGAGGGAGGGAGGGAAGGAGGGAGGACAGGATGGAGGGAGGGAGGGAAGGAGGGAGGACAGGATGGAGGGAGGGAGGGAGGGAGGGAGGGAGGGAGGGAGGGAGGGAGGGAGGGAGGGAGGGAGGGAAGGAGGGAGGGAGGGTGGATAGAGAGGTGGCGGGAGAGGTGGAGGGAGGGAGAGAGGGAGGGAAGAGATGGAGGTAGGGTTGGCGAGAGATACAGTTTTGGCACGGTGAACCCAGAAGGTTCAGAGGTCAAGGAACAAAAGCCCAGTCTCTTATCATCTCATCATATATGGAGTGAAATCAAAGCAGTCATCCACCCCCCTTCCAAAAAAATAAGTAAAACATCTTTGAGATGAGGTTTGATCCTATAGAACACAGTAACAGCAGTTCCATTTCAATTCAGTCGATTCAGGAAGTAAATGGACAATTGGAATTGGAATGCATAGTTTGCTTCCTGAATTTACTGAACTGAAATGGAATTGACCACAGTCGTGAATGACATTGGTATGTTATCAACCTCCTCTTTTGATTTCTCAACCTAGGGCCCTCCCGGATCCTTTGACTTCCTACTGTTGTTGATGGCTGACATCCGTAATGATATCGTTGAGCTACAGAGCAAGGTGTTCGGCAGACACATGCACTCTCCTGGTGAGGATTTCCCTTTGGGGGTCCCAGATACATGGAGGGACAACCAGTCGCCTGGGAGGGAGGTCCCTATGGTTGTCCCAGAGAGCTGGAGGGACAACCAATCGCCTGAGAGCTGGAGGGAGAACCAAGATATCCTGGTGGACATGGGCTCTGGAGAAGACTACAAACCAAAGGACTACAAAACACGGAACGTTGCCAAGGCCAACTCTGGAGAGGACTACAAACCACTTAGGAAGGAAGAGGACAGGAACAGGAACAGGAACAGGAACAGGAAGAGGAAAACCATGCGAGCCTTAACAACAGACTCAGACTTAGATTGGACGATTTGAATTTGAGGCAGATTTTCAGTATTTGTTTGTAAATATTAATATCAAAGTATTTTTTATTGAACTGCTTAAAAAGTCACTCAAAAGTCAGAATGTATTTCTTCTTTTTTTAATCAAATCTCTATTTTTATATTATAAATAGGATTGTAAATGAATATTTTAGTATATTTTTTGTATTATAGTTATGGACTTGAATGTCTTCTTAGCTCAAGAGCTTTTCACTCCTGATACATTGTATTTAAATTTGAATGTCTCAAACGTCTACTTGCTTACTTAAACGTGGTTTCGACCCTGTTATAGAGTATTTTCATGCACACACCAATTTTAACAGTCCAATTCAGAGTATCTCCCTACCCCTAAATCATAGATAGAATATGTAATTCGATTTATTTGCCCCTAATCTCTACGGCTTTGTTTGTTAGGTGTCTCAGCAACACTAGCCAAGGATAGTTTCTGGTTGCTATGGCTGCTAAGTAAGTGTGTAACACTCCACCAAGGCCAAGTGGTTGCTATGGCTGCTAAGCCTCCAGGAGAATGGTCCTTGACAGAAAGAAGAAGAAAGGTCATGGGGAGTACCACTGGAGAGAGATTCAGCAACTTTTCAAGAAATTGAATATTCCAGTGTTTTTAAGTGGCACAATATTATAATTGAGCAGATCCAAGTCTAGGCCTATGTGGTCAAAAGGGGGCATTTTACAATCAAACGTAAATCCGACGTGTAAAGAAACTGGAAAATAAAGTGTTAATGCAGTAATAAAAGAAACTGTATTCCATCTGTTTTTACTGATGTCATGGCTGGAGCAGTAAGAGATAAGAGTGGCTAGGCTTGAGAGAGAGAGACGGAGAGAGGGGGAGAGAGACGAGAGAGACGGAGAGAGAGGGATGAGAGAGATAAGAGGAGGAGAGAGGAGGAGAGAGAGAGGAGAGTAGAGAGAGAGATGAGAGAGGTAGATGAGAGAGGGGTAGAGCCGAGAGAGGGGGGCACGAGAGGGGGGAGAGAGAGGGAGGAGTATATAGTTGACGAGAGACGAGCGAGAGAGAGAAGGAGAGGAGAGGATGGATATAGAGAGAGACTGGGAGAGAGAGGGGGAGAGAGATGTGACATCCATAGAGAGACTTCGTTGTACGATGCGACAAGAGTGAAGAGAGGAAGGGGAGAGTGGGGGAGAAGGAGAGGGGGAGAGACGGATGAGGAGAAAGAGACAGAGGTGAGGCAGAGAGAAAGAGTGGGGGAGACAGAGGAGGGAGAGAGAGAGGAGAGAGAGAGGGGAGAGAGATGGAGAGAGAGAGAGAGGGGAGAGAGAGAAGAGAAAAGAGAGGAGACAGGAGAGATGAGAGAGAGGAGAGGGGGAGAGGGAGATGAGAACAGAGGATGACAGGAAAGAAGAAGAGAGAGACAGAGAGAAGAGAGAGAGTGTACAGAAGTAGAAAGAGAGTACGGAAAAGAGACAGAGGGAGAGAGAAGGGTAGAACAAAAATAGGAGAGAGTAAAAGAGAGCAGGATGGTCGGGATGATAGATAAACATGCACCACTTTAACATCTTCTCTCCAGACTTCTCTTCTGGAGGAGAATAGAACAGAGGTGTACTAGGAGGATAGAACAGAGGTGTACTAGGAAGATAGAACAGAGGTGTACTAGGAAGATAGAACAGAGGTGTACTAGGAAGATAGAACAGAGGTGTACTAGGAGGATAGAACAGAGGTGTACTAGGAAGATAGAACAGCTCACAAAAATAAACCAACAGCAACGACACTGTACAGCCTATACACACGAATGACCTCCAGGTACAAAGCTCTCATCTGAACATGACCAATGTGTGCTTTTATGCATGTCCTCCCCTAATAAGGGCTCCCCAGGGAAACACTGACCAAAACATTGGTTCCTAGACCGTCACAATGTTCTTCAGTTACAAGACTAACTGATTGAGGTTTAGGTGAGGGTTATGGTGATGCCCATCTACTGTGGGACTCCAGTTAAAGAGCAGGAGGAGGCAGAGATGCAGTTCAGTTCAAGTTCAGTTCAAGTCCACAAACACTACAGTGAATACTAGAATATAAATATAGTAATGCTACAGTATTTAGACCATAGTATACTATAGTATATTTTCATGTGGGGTTGACTGTAGTATTTAGTAATACCTGCAGACTAAGGTTATCTAAAATGGCACAACTACCAGACTACACCAGTTACTGTTTAATGAGGGGAACACCTCAACCAGGACATAAGACACAGGTTGGTGACAGGCCACGTATTGAGCAGGGTCAACAGTTCTGAGGAATACAACAGGCCAGACACATTAAATTGTTATTACAATTCTAACATCTAAACATTACAGGTTCTAGGCTACGCTGCTAGCCATCAAGAGAGGTTGAAGTCTGCTTAACAGAGACGCTAAGCTGCTAGCCATCAAGCTACTACTACGATTTCGAAGTCGACGTCGGAAACCTTCCGTCCCTGCTCTGGATCGAGCGGGGCTTCTCCATCTGTCGGAGGCCTGCATCCTGTGACGCGTGGGAGTGGGCGAATTTCCTCGTCCTTCTCGCCAGCCGTGATTTTGGGCAGCTCCATGGTAAGAAATGTGACCGTTCCTGGTGCAAAAACAATGTCCTATCCCGGAGCTCGAGTAAATGACATTACTAAGCTGCTCCCGAATGTACTAAGTCAGGACATGGAAATCGATTCTATCGTAGTCCATGTGGGTTTTAATGACATTATGAAGGGCAGCTCTGAACAGTTGAAACTGGATTTTAAAAGAGCTGATTGACTCTCTTCTAGACACTAACAAAAAACCCATCATATCTGGCCCTGTGCCCTCTCTGAATCGTGGCATTGAACACTTTAGCAGGATTCTTGCTCTTCACAACTGGCTACGTGATTATTGCAGCTCAATGGGTGTAACTTTTGTTGACAATTTCGATACCTTTTGAAAACAAAACACGTTTTATAAGGAGGATGAGATCCACCCAAATCATTTGGGTTCCTGGATCCTTTCACAGCATTATAAGGCTGCGTTGAGACAATGACTTAGCAATGACCCAAGCCCAGCTCAGCTAATCCCTACCATTGTGACGCAGAGTTGTCTAAATGCTTCAGCAAATGTACATTACACCAGGGGCGTCGGTAGACACAATATAACTAACCTAATTTATGTCCCTCTAACTGCCCTGAATGCCTCTGCTGATCCTACAGCTATTGTATGCAGTAATCATATGCCTAAGAACCAGATGTATACTGTTAGCACTGAGCCGGTGTGCCCGAGGAGGAAGGCCACTGTGATCAGCTCACCCTGCACTAACATAAAGAACATGACCACATCTACTGCTGCTAAGCTTCCCAGTAAAGCAATAAAAACAAGTAAGTATCCCAGGCGAAAATAACTCAAAATAGCCCACGTTAACATATGTAGCGTAAGAAACAAGGTGCATGAAATCAATAATTTGCTAGTAACAGATGACATTCATATTCTGACTATCTCCGAAACTCACTTAGATAATACCTTTGACGATACAGTGGTAGCAATACAATGTTATAACATTTACAGAAAAGATAGAAATGTCAATGGGAGGTGTTGATGTTTTATATACAGAACCACATTCCTGTGAAGATAAGAGAGGATCTCATGTTAAATACTGTTGAAATAATATGGCTACAGGTTCATCTGCCTCACCTAAAGCCCATTCTGGTGGGAAGCTGCTATAGACCACCAAGTGCTAACAGTCAGTATCTGGATAACGTGTGAAATGCTTGATAATGTATGTGATATCAATAGAGAGGTATACTTTCTGGGTGATTTAAATATTGACTGGCTGTCATCAGGATGCCCACTCAAGAGAAAGCTTAAAACTGTAACCAGTGCCTGCAACCTGGTTCAGGTTTTCAGTCAACCTACCAGGGTGGTTACAAACAGTACAGGAATTAAATCATCAACATGTATTGATCATATCTTTACTAATGCTGCAGAGATCTGCTTGAAAGCGGTATCCAAATCCATCGGATGTAGTGATCACAATATAGTAGCCATATCTAGGAAAACCAAAGTTCCAAAGGCTGGGCCTAATATTGTGTATGAGAGGTCATACAATAAGTTTTGTAGTGATTCCTATGTTGTTGATGTAAAGAATATATGTTGGTCCGTGGTGTGTAATGAGGAGCAAACAGACACGGCTGGCCCTTAAAAGCACACGGAGAGCTAACATTGATGACATGCATGTCAGTCTCTCCTGGCTCAGAGTGGAAGAGAGATTGACTTCATCACTGCTTGTTTTTGTGAGAGGTGTTGACGAGTTGAATGTACCGAGCTGTCTGTCTTGGAATCCTGGCACACAGCTCGGACACCCATGCATACATGCCACCAGAGGTCTCTTCACAGTCCCCAAGTCCAGAACGGACTATGGGAGGCGTACAGTACTACATAGAGCCATGACTACATGGAACTCTATTCCAAATCAGGTAACTGATGCAAGCAGTAGAATCAGATTTTAAAAACAGGTAAAAGTACACCTTGTGGAACAGCGGGGACTGTGAAGAGACACACACACAGGTATATACACACACACATCTAGACACTCACTCTCTGTGGTCCTCTGTAGCTCAATTGGTAGAGCATGGCACTTGTAACGCCAGGGTAGTGGGTTCGATCCCCGGGACCACCCATATGTAAAAATGTATGCACACATGACTGTAAGTCGCTTTGGATAAAAGCGTCTGCTAAATGGCATATTATTTATTTATTATTACACACACGTGCACATGGATGTTGTATTGTAAATATGTGATAGTGGAGTAGTGGCCTGAGGGAACACACTAAATGTATTGGGTAAAGTGTTATGAAATATAATGTCATGTAATATTTGAAATTGTATATAACTGCCTTAATGTTGCAGGACTCCAGGAAGAGTAGCTGCTGCCTTGGCAGCAGCTAATGGGGATCCTTAATAAATACAAATACAAACCCTATATCTATATCTCACAGGCAATCGTTAACTCTACATCTCACCGTCCA